TATAACCAAGGTTCGTTGTCAATTTTTTTTTATTCTGCAGCTCTTTGGGATAGGATCTCCGACTGAAAACTCAGTTTGTATAATACTTTTCTCCTCATATAAATATGAGGAGAAAAGTAAAATAAATATTAAATTTGGGTTGCGGTCAGACGTGGGAGTGTTTGCGATGCTGGTTTTCCAAAGCGAGGCCGCTCCGAGCTCTGATTTTGTAATTGTTTTACCGGAAAGGCTGGGATGCGCAGATCTGCCATCTTGTTACTTAAAGCTTGTCTTCCGTCCCTTTTCTACTTTTCCTTTGTAATAAAGATTTATGAGAGCTGGAGTTGTTCCGCGACCTCGCTTCTGACATAGTTAACTGATCCCTATTTGGATTTGGGTCGCGAGGTAGGCAGTGTTTCGCAACACTTACTGTACCGGCCCGGCTTCTAGCTAACCAAAAGAAAGAAATTTTCGACATCAATCAAGAACAATTTTAGGAAAGAATTTTGTTTGTTTGTTTGTTTAGCAACATATCAACTTCTTAAGGGTCATTTAATCCCAAAATTTAATATTCTTGGGAGAATTGGTAATTTCTTTTACAAAAATATATTGCTTGAAATAATTTTTTTTTACTTTACTGAAATGTATTACTGGCATTTTTTAATTGTATAATTTAAAAAATGGATTGCTGATCATTTTTTTTACTATAAAAATGTATTGTTGGTATTTTTATGCAAGATTTTTAATACTTTCATACCTATTAATCACCATAGAGATCCACCCCCCCTTAGAATGTCTGATAGTCAACTTCTTGAGAAAAACTCTCTGCGTCTGCTCGGTCTCACGTTGACTGCTGACCTGAGATGGAACAAATACATTGAGTCAACTGCTTCGTCCACCGCGAGGAAAGTTGGCTCTCTGTGCCGCGCCAGGAAATTTTTCTCCTCGGAATCGATACTTCAAATATACCAATCAACCATTCGCCCTTGCATGGAGTATTGCTGCCATACATGGTCTGGGGCACCTTCTGTTTACCTCGGAGTTCTTGACAAGATCCAGAGACGGATATGTAATATAATTGGCCCTGATCTAGCATCTCGTCTACAGTCGCTCTCTCAAAGAAGCACCGTCGCCTCTCTCTGTCTTTTCTACAAATACTTTCATGGTAATTGCTCCGATGAGCTGCTTTCACTGGTTCCCAGACTCCTTGAATTCAAGCGCCCTACGAGACTGGCATCCCGCTCTCACACTTTCAATGTAGAAACTTTTAAATATAGCCGTCTCTTCTACTCCAATAGCTTCATACCTCGCACCTCTTGCCTGTGGAACGCCCTTACCAATTACTGTTTCCCTGAGATCTATAATCTCCAACTATTCAAATGTAATGTCAATCGACATCTCCAGTTACCTTGATCTATCCACTCCCCATCCTTTCTTCTATCACTTCTATCTGCTCTCGCTCCAAATCTGCTGAAACCCCCTGCATCCTAGTGGCTTCACGCCTTGCTCGGGGCGTAATGCTTAAAAAAAAATCAAACTGTTATGGGGATTAATTTTTTGACCATAACCGAGATCCTACCACTCCGGGTGAGGGTGCACCTGGGAACAACAGCAATTAAGAGGTGTGTCCACGCTCCTCGAAACCTTCCAATTAGAGATCTTACAGCCGGATGTACTTATTCAGGGCGTTTTAGTGAAGAAAAGGAAAATAATATCAAAGTGGAAACGTTTTTGTGTGACGCGCTCCGTCTCTCAGGGGCTCACCGGATCAGTGTGACGTTTAAGTTGATGTGGCTGCATATGGTAGAAACATGAGCAAGAAGGAAAAGAAACTAAAAAATATCGGCAAGACTATATTCCCAAAACATATATTAAAAAAAGTTTAAATTAAAAATGCTCAACATGTCTTCTGTCGACATCGTTTTGATCCGCTGAGGTCCTCGTGACAGACAAAGCGCGACACACGATAATTTTTTCCACGTTATCAGGTTTTGTCTATATTTCTGAGATGAGGTATTATGTACATTATTTACATTGTTCGGAGTATCATCCTCATCTTTGTTGCCATATTGTTATGGTCTGGTTCCTTGTACCACGGTGATAGTCCAAGTTACAACCAATACAGAAGAACTCGAACGCGGATATGGAATAACACAGATATATTACAAACAGGAATATATACAGAGAGGTAGAGAAGTGTTAGTACGAACAATCAGGTTTAGTAGTAATTGTCTGAATGCAACTCGGTTTCGGACTGCCTCTGACTCGACTGACTGACTCGCTCGCTCTGACTGACTGACAGACTCCTGACGGACTTCACTCCAGACTTCAGACTGAACTCTCTGCTTTCTCTTGAGGCGCAGTATTTATTACGTATGGAATAGTCCATTATGTTATTATGGGTAAGGTCCCATAACACATATTTATCCCAACGTTTCGCCGGCCTTCTTCAAGTGGTTGGAATGTCGAACTGAATATTTTCTTTCGCTTGCTGGGGTAGACTGTTTTTTGTTCCACGTGCTATGTCTAATGGAAGTCAGTTATCAGTTATCTCCTGTTAATTTCCCTCTCCAGGTTATCCACCATCTTAACCAGGTATTGAACTCACACTCTTTGGGTCCTGTCACTGGATCTAACCAACACCTTTATCCACTGTGCCATGTATCCTTGAGGAGAACTTAAAGAGAGGAATTAACAGGAGATAACTGATAAGTGACATCCATTAGACATGGCACGTGGAACTAGAACAGTCTACCGCAGCGATCGAAATAAAGGGTTCAGTTCGACATTCCAACCACCTGAAGAAGGCCGGAGCGTACAACGGCCGAAACGTTGTGATAAATACGGCAACAAAGATGAGGACGATAGTCCGAATAATGTAAATAGTTGTCAGTTTTTATCCCCGAAATTTACATAGAAAATAAACTGAAAACAATTACGTTATTGGTATGCGTATATATATATTAATAATTACACGTATACCTGCGTTTACAGTACGGCTCAATTTTTCATGGTTTTCTCAGACATCGGGCAAAAAAGTTATAAATTGTGAGTCGTGCTGTAAACATAGATATCTGTGTAATTATTAATATATAGTTTATAGTTCTATTTACCTACACGGAGCACCTCTTTTTTTCGACACAATTTATTAAATAAATAGTTATTTGCTGAGCTGGATGT